CATAGAAGACATATATGATTTCTTAGGGATCAACGTCATCCTTTAGATCATCATTATCCATGTCTTCTTTTGTGTAACAATATTTTGACCTAAAAATCATACTTAACATATAAAAGTAAATTGATTTTTCAGTTGTTTTTTCCTTTTTTATTGCAAAAGTCTTATATGATAATAAAAGATTATAATTATAAAGATAAAATTAAAAAATTTTTATATTTATAATTATTTTATAAATTTAATAAAACTTGTTTATAATTAAAATAAAAAAGTATTAACCTTTATTATTTCAAATTATCTTAAAATTTAAATCAATATAAATAATAATGAAAAATTATCAAAAGTAATCAATCATTATAAAAAAAAAAATGAAATTCTAAAAAATTATCTTTTATATTTAATTATATGAACTTTTTTTTTTTTTTTTGATTAGAATTAAGATCTATTATATTTAATTTAATAATATTAAAATTTTAAATCATTTTATAAAAATCATATTTTATTGACAATTTTTTCTATATATATATTTTTTCTATAATAATTATATATGTTTTATAATTGATTTAGATTTAACTTAAACTAAAAATAGTTAAAGATTAAAAAAGAATTTAACAAAAAGTTTAATAACCTCAATTTTATTATAAGAACATTTGAAAAAATAGTATAAATCATATTGTTTTTACTTTCTTCTTGTAATGTATAATGTAATTTTTCTATTTTATTATAATATTTTAAATGAATCAAAGAAAAACACTTCAAATGCTTTAATATTTAAATTTATTTTTGAACATTTTATCAGATCTTTTTTGGCTAGCCGAATTACAGCATTAAGTGCTAATTTGATCAAAATTAATTTCACAACTCACGTTTCCGATCAGTTTATAGAGCAACTGATTTCTAGATATTCCACAAATTTTGATTCTGTTTGTAATTTTATAAACAAACAATTACAAAACGGTCTTGCAGGTTCCATCAACATTCTCATGTAAATATTTTTTCTTCCCAGAGCCTTCACCAAATTCTCCAACGATATGCCCATTACCACAAAGTTTATACTTATAAATCACTAATCCTTCAAGACCTACTGGTCCTCGTGCATGAGTTTTGTTAGTACTTACCTATAAGAAAAATAGAAACATACATGAATAATTTTTTTTATTAATAGATGTCAAAAAATTATGTTTATAATTTCTATTTTAATTACCCCAACTTCAGCTCCGAAGCCATACCGAAAACCATCAGCAAATCTGGTGCTCGCATTCCAATAAACACCTGCAGCATCAACGCCTTGCATGAACCTCTTTGCAACTTGATCATTCTCCGTGACGATAGAATCTGTGTGCTTACTACCATGTGAGTTTATATGCTGAATCGCTTCTTCTACGTTACCAACCACTTTAACTGCAATATCTAGATCCAAAAATTCTGTGTCGAAATCCTCAGTTACACATTCCTGGATTAATGAAGAGTTTGTTGTAGGTGTAGGAAGATGGGAAAGTGACTCTGAATCAAGATGTAATCGAACATTAGCATTCTGTAATGCAGTAGCAATAGGTATGAGATGTGTTGAGAGAATGGAACGATTCACGAGGAGAGTCTCAGCCGAGTTACATGCAGCGGGATAATTGACCTGCAAATGTATTAAAGCTATTGAGATTAGTAATGAGGAATAAAAGGCACTGAATTAATAAGAGAAATCAGAATTCTTACCTTTGAATCGACAACGATTCGAACAGCTTTATCAAGATCAGCGTCCTTGTCAACATAAACTGAACATAAACCATCAGCATGTCCCAAGACAGGTATCCTTTAATAATCATCGCCAAATCTTAATAATTTAATGATCCAATTTTCTGAATCGTTTTGTTCAGGATGTGAAATACCTTGTATTACTCTGAATATATTTCACCAAACTATTGCTTCCACGTGGAATTACCAAATCGATGTATTCATCCAAATCTAATAAAGATTTAATTTCTTCACGAGTTTCAACAAGTTGAATAGCATCTGATGGGATTACGGTATCAGCCAAGGCAGATCGAATGGCCGTTGATAGTGCGTTCAAAGAGAAAGCAGATTCTTTCCCACCCTTTAAAATTACAGAGTTACCTCAATTAATTTATAAAATCATTGTTAGCTGGTTCTATATTATATTCCCACTTTAATGAAAAGAAATTAGTTTAATAATATGCAATTGTACCGGATTTTATAGCTAACGCGGAAATATTGACAACCACCTCAGGTCTTGCTTCAAAAATTACTAGTAAAACTCCAACAGGACAGGTAACACGATAAAGTTCCAACCCTTCGTCAAGTTTACTAGAGTAAGTAATTTGGCCAGTAGGATCTGGTAATTGATCGATATCAGATATTCCCTTAAGCATAGTATCAAATTTATCTCCTTTTTCAAGATCCAAACGCTTGAACAGTGAGACGGATAATAATTCGGCATTTACCAATTTCTCAGCATTCTTAATTATTTTCACCGGTATAATTAATCAAACTGATTTTCATTAAAAAATACATTATATGTAACTCATTCAAACCTCTTTATCTTGTCTATTGGCTTTGAAAATATCTTGTTTCTTATCAGTAAGAATATTTTTAATTTTATCAAGCGCCACACTCTTTTCTTGAGTGGTCACATATTGAAGCTTATTAGCAGCATTACGTGCATTTTGGGCTATTTTAACCGTATTCATTTTTTTGTATAAAAAAAAGCTTGTGGCAATCGTATTCGAAAATCTATTTTAAAAAATCAGTTAATTTTGTAACATGCATGCATTACAATTCCTTTTTTTTAAGACGAGATGACAAAATACAGGGGGGTACAAAAACATGTAGTGTAAGGTCAGCTATGTATATTATGTATGGTATATTTCACGCCCCCCGTGACTACTTTTCACGGATTACAAATAACACTTCGGCCGGCATTAAACCATGCTTTAACCGGAATTATATATTTGTCACATGTATGTATATTTCACTCCCCGTTACATTTTTCCATACATTACATACATTGCAGTCTGGGATTTTACCAAAAATAGAAATTAAATCTAGTATAATCGGCGTTCACGTTTTAAGAATTTGATTGGCTATTAATTAAAATAATTGTAACACTTTCACTAATCCAAACGCTAAAAAAATATTATAATGCACTTATAAAAAAAATATATAAATATACTCTTTTGAATATATGTTTTTATAATCCACTTTCATTTACCAAGGCTTATATAAGATATAAAAATATAATATTAATCTAAAGATATCTCAATATTAATCTTTAGAATAACAAGTAAACTGGTTGCTAACAGATTACCATACATATTTAAAATATTTTTTTGATAAATATTTGAAAAGTTTAGTATATATAAATTTAAAGAGGATCAAAAATAAAGGTATACATCAGCGAAAGCAGCAGTAGATTAGATAAATATTTTTTTGCTAAGTATTTTTTCAAATTATATAACTCTATAAAAAATTATTTAATATGTGAAAAGTATTATAATCAAATTGTTACTATAGATATTCTACTTAATATATTTATAACAGAAAATAATTCTAAAGAAAATAGTTAATGAAAAAGATTAAGACTATTAAAGATGGAGATATTATGCTATAATAAGGTAATAAAAGTTTTATGCTAGAGTTACTAAAAACAAAGAAAGTCTTGACTAATTTTGAAACTCAATAAATAAAATATGTTGAATTTATAAAAGTATAAATAAAGGATTATTCAATTAGAATCTAAAAATGAAGAATTGAAAAGAAGATGAAATAATTGATTTGATAATTAAGAAACAAAGATTAATTCTATAATTAAAATTGCTAAAAAAGAACATAAAAGTTTTTATGATAATATTATTAATTTAATAGATAATTAGAAATAATTTAGTTTAGATAATCTATTAAATTATTTTACTTCTGACTGACTTTTTAAATAAAATTCAGTTATCATAAAATTTATAAAAATCTCATATATAATGAAAATGATGATTGATTCAAAGATAAAAGCTCTTTAAATGTATAGTAGTGGTTGATGCTATTTATGAAATAAGGAATTTAAAGTATATTTCATCTATTAATTTTACTGCTTTTGCGATTAAATATTTATTAGCAAATTTGAAACTATTATTAATATCAATAATCATATAATTAGCTTTGATAATTATACTAAATTATAAACTAATTAAAAAGTTTAGCTATGAAATAGCAATCGCTTTCTAAAAGTCTCTTATTTATAATTTTTGATAATGAACAAAAGGGCAAAAAACTATTTAGATTGTAAGTATAATATAATTGTATTTTACACAGTTATGAGTTTCATTATAATTATTATGATTAATATAATATTGTTACAGTTAGTTCTTTAAGTTACTTATGAGTAGTAAGCGAAGCAATATTTATGGGTGGTAAGCAGAAGATTTAATTTAATATTTAGATTTAGAAAAGTGTTAGTAAATTAACAGTTTATTTAATAACTATAACAATGGAGTACTGCCTCAGTCGGCGCTCTGTACTATACAATTGTGTTAAAGGGATTAAACTAAACTATTATATAAAACTATAT